CAGGGATAAACAATGGCCTTTATGCTGGGTTGACAATACTGTTGTCTATCCTGGTAATTCAGCTTTGCCTTTTCTTTTTAGATTCATAAGTTTGTTGAAAGATAAATTTATATACTAGTCACGATTTTGAAATTATATAAAGAAAAAAAAATCGTGTACCTCATGTTAAAGGAAGTATATATAAAATTGTTAATAAAATATAAGTTCATTAAGATAATATACACTAGTGGGGCCGAGGCACTTCGTGCCTCTATATGAATTTTATCTCTAACTTGAAATATGATTGTATTAATAATTTTACATAATATAATATGATTAATTCAATCGTTTTTCAGTGATGAATTGCATAATAATCAAAACATAATAGAAGTCCAATTTATATAAAAGTAAAATTTATGTTGTACATAGTTATATTTGTAATGATGGATTAAAATAAGTATAAATTACATTTATATTCATTAGGCTTTTAAATTAAGTATAAATTACATTTATATCCATTATAGATTTGGGAATTTGTATATATACTTTATTTTTTGTTTAAAAAATAGTATATTAATTAAGTCACACATTACTGAAACCTATGTTATTTGTTTAATTATTTTAAAAATGTGAGATTATATCATTTTAATAATAAAAAATCTGTACAACTTTTCAATAATTAAATTTGTGTCTTTCCATATGATGGTTTGGAGACACTTTTGCATGCACTAAAGAAGCTAATAAAACACCAAAAGAATGTAGTAGAAAAAAATGAAGATGAGATTGAAAGAATGTACCAGAGCAACTCTTTAGGAGCATTAATTAGTAAAAAATTAAGTTTTCCATAAAAATGAAGATGAACTGGTAGATGATCAAACTACATAATCCCAACAAATCTCAAAATGCTTACACAACATGTTAACAATCCCTAATCTACACTAAGACTGTATAATTCACAGATTTTCACCAAAAATCACAAACAAATCATACAGACAATAACTGGAAAAAAACTGCAAAACTAACCAAATATCATTTTGAGTTCTTACATGCGATGAATTTGTAAGTAAAATAAATTAAAAGGAAAAGCGTAGCATGCGAATATATAATATTTATGAAATCAGATAATCCATTAAATATTTTTTTACAACTTCACATCATGAGAGGGATCGTATCATCCTCTACGAAAATATTGGCCCGAAAAATAGAAAGGAAAAAAATAATTTTTTTTAATAAAATAAAGTGATGTAGCAAATTTAAAGTTACGTAGCGAAAATTTAAGTAAATAAATGAGTGAATGCACACAAAAATGAATCAAAACCAAAGACTAAATGTGACTTCCTGTGTCATGTGTTAATGCATGTGTTAACTACAAATTGGCATACACTTAAAAAAAACTATTTCTTATAACGTGGAAGCACCAAAAATAAATTTAAACAAAATAAAAACGCTGTATGTGCTTTTATTATCACAAACACAGAAACAGAGGGATAAAAACCTTAGGGTGGAAACAGTGCATTTCACGTTTGAATAATCCTCGAATTGAAATAGTCAACCTTATAAACCACAAAGACATACTTAAAAATAGAGATAAATTTCTATTAGTGAGGCAGAAAAGAGCACAAATTTAAGTGAAGTAACGCATTCATAATTAACGAATTAGGGCCCCATTCACGCTACTAAATTAATTCTTTCATTTTTTTTTCCTACTTTTTATTGCGTTGATATTTTCTATTATTTATTTCGCATATAAGAAGGATTTTAAATAAAAGTCACCATTGAGAATATCTACATGATTCACGTTAAATTTTTATGACTTTGCTTTAATTTTTTTTAACAACCAAAATATGTACCATTAAATAATAACAATAATTTTTTATAATTAAATTAATTATATATGTTTATGTAATTAATAAATTGAATGTATTTCTCAAGTTTAGTCTTTTTTTTACAATTCTTTTTTTTGGTGTATTATTTTTACAAAGAATTTAATTTTACTCAAGTTATTAAAAATGTTAATTTTAAATATCTCTATTTTCTAAATTCATGTTTTCCCTTTAAAATTATAAAAAAAATCATATTTAAACTTACTATCTTAATAGATTTAAAAATTTAAATATATAACTATATTTTAATACAAATTCATATGTAATATATGTGTAAGTTTATTAAAGTTTAAATCTTAAATTTTAAATTTTAAATGCTAAATTACGAATTTTAAATTTTAACTTTTAAAATTTAAAATTTAAATTTTAAAATTTAAAATTTAAATTTTAAAATTTAAAATTTAAAATTTAAAATTTAAATAGGGATATTTTAAATTTAGATGTTTAATAAGTTGAA